GGGCTTTTGATAGGCTAATAATACGCTAAAGATCCTCCTGCTGGGTGTCTCAGCAGATGAGACATCTTGGGCTGCCCGGCTGCCCAAGAGGGGCCAGGCGGCCACGTGTGGGGCTAGTAGCACGCACTGGGCCTCATGAGAACACCCGTTTCTATGTTTCAGTTCATACCACTTCTATACCCAGTATGTAGGAGCTCCTTTTCCAGTGCCTCACCCTACCTGCCCCACAGAGTCGGCTCCAGTCTGCCTCCTCCAGGCTTCCTCTGGAAGCCTTCCCTGACCCCTCAAGGGCATAGTGCTGCCCTCCTTGGAAATCCACTCTGAACATCTGACCCTTAACCTTATGAAGATGGTTTATTCTTTATGCATTTTTTGGTCATAAAGTCTTTTAAAATTAACAGACATTTTTTAGAGCAGTTTTAGGTCACAGCAACTCTATGCTGTGCTCTGTTTCTTCTACCACTTGCCCACTGCACGTAGCCCAGAGTCTCTACAAATAGCAAGTACTGAGAAAAGCTGTTGCTTGATAGATATCAAATCAGGAAGTGATACAAATCTGAGAGTAATATAAAGGCATTTACTAGAAGGGAGTGTGTGAAATAAAAAGCGTCACACCAGCCGTCAAAAAGTAAAGGAGGTAAAACAGTGCAGACCACCCACTGCAGGGCTGCAGGACCCGCAGAGCAGGTGCGCCATCCTGTGGCCTGGGGGCTCCACAGCGGAGGGAACGGCTTGGAGGGAGAGCCGAGATGCTGGGGTGCCCTGCTTCCAGAACCCCTGGTTTATATCCTCTGCAAACACTGGCCAGACCAAGGTGTTCTGTTTTCCCTCAGATTATTTTTTAAAACATCCAGTTGGAAGAACATAAGAGTGAGGCTGGGACTCTCACACTGACCCCAGATTTCTGCCTCCATTTTCACCACATTTCATAAACCAGCTCTGTCAGCTTAAAAGCATCACTGAACAAGAGCACAGGCCTGTTCTCAGTTGTAACGCGGACCGCCACGGACCGAGCGCTGTGACGCTCCACGCTCGTGGTCCAAGCTTTATGCGCATCGTCGCATTTGGTCCTCGAGCAGCTCCATCTATTGTCCCATGTTACAGATGAAGAAACTGAAGCTCAGAGAGACTAAGCTAGTAAGTGGCAGAGCTAGGTTCAAACTCAGCTCTTTCTCCCTGCCCCCCTAAGGTCCAAAATACCTACCCACTGTGCTCTGTGGCCTCCCCTCTGATGGAAGGCACGCCAGCAGGAGACAGAAAAACCAACAGCAGGAAGGATGGGGTGGGGGAGAGGCGCAGGAAAGAGGGGAATGTGAGAAGGAGAGAGGAGCACGAAGAAGAAAGGAAGCTGGGGTCTGGATGAGGTGCACATGGGTTCTGGCTTTGGGTCCAGGGGGCCTTTGAGGAGTGGGAATGAAGCAGGAAAGTTGGTGGTGACTGTTGGAGAAACAAGCCACAAAATATGTAGAAGCCATTTCCTCTCTCAAAGAAGATAAACAATAGATTCATAAACAAATTTTACAAAGCTGCCCAGCTATTTAAAGCATTCTGGTAGGAACTCATATCCTCTGTGAGAATAAAGCTAATCCTGAAAAAATGGTCAACAGCCCATTTTGGGGAGAGGGGATAGGACAGGGACATACTCCTTTCGGGTCTGTCACCTGCCAGGCCTGTGACTGTAGCCAGTTACATGTCTTCTCTGAGCCTCGGTTCACTCTTTTGTGAACATGGAACAGTCATTCCTGCCTCCCAGGGCCATGGTGGAGAAGAAAGAAGATATACTTTCTGGCAATATGGCAGACTAGATACGCAACTTGACTTTCCCAACTGAAACAATTATTATGCTGGATAAAATTTAAAATGTAAAAATTGTATACACATTGCTGAGCTGGTACAAATGAAAGGAGTCTTTGAAGACCAAAACAAAACCAAAAGCAGGAAACTTGGGAGGTAAGCTAGAGGCAAAGCTGGCTTTTGCCCTGAGGGTTCCTGCTCATCCCCAGAGATTCTACGTTTCCCATGAGAGCTGCACAGGGCTCAGGAAACAGGAGAAAAAGTGGAGTTCTGGCCATAAAGTTGGGACTCCAATAGGCTCCACTCTCAATGAATGAGAAATAGACCCACAGCACAGAAGCAGATTACAAGGAAACCTGACCCTGGGCTGGGTAGAATGTGGGGGGAATCTCTCCTGAAAATTTGTAACCATAAGCTGGATCTCACACAGGTCTGCGGTTGGAATTCATGCTACTTATGTAACCAGAAAAGCTTTAGGTAGAAAATTAATTTAAAGTGACTTTTGGTTGATAGTGCTTCCAGACAACTAGTAGAAGTTAATGCAAATCCTCTCCAGAAAAATAAACTTCAATCCACATCTCAAATAATTCCCAAGAAAGTTCTAAGGAAAATGGGCAGCTCACAGTAAATAACAAGAAAACAAGGCACTATGAGTACCAGCCAGCAGAAACAACAGACGGCAGAATCTGGCCTGGAAAGATTTCCGATTCTGGAATCACCAGACACGAAATTCTATAATGTCTAAATAGCTACTCCAATAGATTAAAGAAGTAAAAAAAGGCAGCTTACAAATATGAGCAAGAAATAAGAGATCAGAAAACCACCAAGCAGATTTGAAAAATAATGGACCAGAACTTCAAGAAATGATAAATAAAGGAACCAAAAGGAAAAAAATTCAATGGATAGATTAAACAGCATTGGAGACAGAATAAATTAGTTAAATGGAAGACAGATTTGAAGAAATTACTCAGAGTTTCAGCAAAGAGATGAAAATGTGAAACAGAGATAGAGAGAGAACAGAACGAGAAGGCCCACCATACGTCTAACTGGAGTTCCAGAGGCGATATTAGAGAGAGAAAGAGGCAATATTCAAAGAACTGAGGGGTGAGAATTTTCCAGAATGGTTGAAAAACACCCATCTTTAGCTGTAGGAATCCCCACAAAACCCAAGCAGAACAAAGACAGAGAAATTTACACATAGTTACGTGACAATGAAGCTGAGAACATCAGAGAAAACAATGATATCTTTAACATAACCAGAGAGAAATGCCAGATCACTTATAAAGAAACAGCAATTAGACTGACAGCCAACTTCTCAAAAGCAATATTCAGAGCCAGACATAGTGGAATAATGGCTTCAATGACCCAACAGAATATATCCAGTAAAGCTACCTTTCAAAACTGAGAGCGAAACAAAGACATTTTCAAGCCAACAAAAACCAAATCAAACCCAGCAGAAAAAACTTGAAAGTTTACCAGCAACAGACTCTCACTAAAGGATAACGCTAAAGGATTTATTTTAGACAGAAGGAAAATGATCTCATATTCATGAAACAGTGGTGAAAAAAAGATATTGATAAGTCTGTGGGTAAATCTATACACACACTCACCACATATAACAACGACATCTAGCTTGTGGGGAAAAAACAGGACAGGATGAAAACACAGGACAATTGTATATAAATTGGGAGAGGCAGTGGTTAGAATTAAACCAGTTTATGCTTCTTGCATTGTTTGGGAGGAAGGTAAAGACACTGATTACTGTTAGACTTTGTTAAGGATGCCTGTTAAAATTGCTGGAGTAACTACTGAAAGAATAGTTATGAAGTATATAACCTCCAAATAAGAAGACGGAAAACAGAACGAGGGGGAGAAACACTTCAACCAAAAATAAAGAGCAGAAAAAATCAAAGTATAAAGAGGGTAGAAATGAATCTCAATTCATCAATAAAATACCTATTCTAAATATCTATGCACCAAATAGCATTGCTTTAAAATATATAAAGCAAAAATTTCAGCATTATAAGGAGAAATTGACAAGTCCAATGGGAGATTTTTTAACACATTTCTCTCAATAATTGATAGATTAATCAGACGAAAACAGAAAAGGACACATTACAGACGATTTGAACATCACAACGAACTAACTTATTTCAATGATTTTATATAGAACACTATATCCAATAATTAGAGAATACACATTTTTTTTCAAGCACTTATGGAACACCTAAGAAAAAAGTTGGAAAGAGATAAAATATTAAAAAAGAGCACCGAGAAGTGGTTCAAGGCTTATTTCAAACTCTCTCCAGGGATCCAAACCTATTTTGTGTTAAAAAAGACGGAGACGCTGTCTTTTTTGCTCATTGATGTACCTCCAGTGTCCAGCACAGTGACTGTCACCGAGGAGGCTCTTAATAGACACTGAAGAATGAACGGTGAATGAGGGATTCTCTGCTGCGGATGGCACAGGTTGAGTGAGCAACTGGCAGGGCCAACCCTGGAGGTAATGAAGTGCTTTCCAACATGGAGGAGCACAAAAGGACAAGGTGAGCGGCGCTAGTCTCTAGGGAAAATTTACACAAAAAACAAAAGCAGAGTCACGACAGCCATCTTCAAATCCAAAGAGGGAGTCATGTGGCAGAGTCTTTGAAAGTTCAGTCTTTATGGTTCCAAATGGCAGAGCAGAGAAGAGCAGGCGGAACTTACCAAGAGGCAGAATTGGTCCCAATATTAGGCAGAATTTTCTAACAATTCATTGTTCCACACTGGCTGGGGATTGGCCAGGCTGATCCTCTAAGGCCCCTTACCACCCTGTGTGGAACAGATGTGTCTGTCCAGGATGTCTTGGGAGTCCCAGACTATGGACTGACCAGCTTTCCAATTACATCCTCTTCCAGAGATTCCTTTACCCCAAATTCTCTGGATACCCAATCCCTAAAAGGTCCCAAGATTCAGGAGGTGCTGGAGGAATAATGAGAGCTTCAGTCCCCAGCAACTCAATTCAGTGTCCCGTCTGCTCCACCATCAGCCTCTCTATTAACTGAAATGAGCACGTTTTGCCCCGTTAGGCTGACGTGCACTTTCTAAGTCTACCTATGCCCTAGTAAACTCCATTTTTCCAGCACATGACAAGGGATTACAAAAGCAGATAGAATTAGCTAAAACAAAAATTCCTAAACCTTCCAGCACAAGGAAAGCAAGCTCACCTTGACCTCCGCAGCAGATGGTTGAGTTGGGAGCCTGGCTCTGGGGGCTTCTCCTGCGGCCGGCCAGTCATGCTGCTCTCATGCTGCTGGGCAGGTCGGAAGAGGAGACCTGTTTCTGCGGGAAAAAGAGAAGGAAAGTTCACTACTTCATCATTCGATCCCAGCTCTCCATCACTGGCCTGCAGAGGACACTATCCAGAAGGCCCAGGAGTTGCCGGGGCTGGCCTCACCCACTCTCATGTCACTGGGGAGCAGGCAGGCACACATGGGACAAATGTTTCCCACGCCCTCCGATATGCCAGGCAGGGCTCTTAGGAATGAAGCCACGAAGATGTATTAGACACAGTCCCTGCTCTCAAGAAACAGTCTAGCAAGAGAGAGGGGGACGGACACGTGTTTCATTACAATATAATTTGGTAAGTGCTGTGGTTTCCCCAAATTCATTCAACAGGGGAGCAAAGGCAGGTTACAGGCCTTCTCAAACTGTGTGTGATGAAGAACCAGCTATCTTTGTTTTTGCTTTAACTTCCAATCCATCACGGAGGAATACTTTTATAAAATATAATAAAGATGAAACGAAAAAATATTCATACAAAGGACAAGCCTAATTTTTCATATTCAGTTCAATGGATTACTCTGTCAAATCGGTATGGAAGTTTCTAGGTGCTTACTCTCCATTTCTGTACTTATGCTGACTGGTAAGCAGTTTGCAGACCAGCACCATTCCATGAACCACGCTAAGGAGCATCGCTATAGCAGAAGTTTGTAAAGAGTGCAACTTTCCTAAGATGTTGCCTGATGCCTTGGTTCAGAGAGGGTAGCTAGAAATAAAAATGATGTCAAATTCACCCTCTGGACTACAGTTCAGAGAGTGTCTCTCCAGGAAGGAAAGTGCCATGGTAGGGACTTTGGGAAAGTGTGGCTTTGGGGTGTCTGGACAGAGGTGGTGGCACCAACTTGCTGGTTCAGGTAACAGAGGATGAGGCTCACGGAACCTGGTCAAAAATTGAGCCTGGGGCTGGCCCTGTGGCCAACTGGTTAAGTTCACGCACTCTACTTTGGTGGCCTGGGGTTCACCGGTTCGGATCCTGGGCGCGGACCTATGCACTGCTCATCAAGCCACACTGAGGCAGCATCCCATATAGAAGAACTATAACGACTTACAACTAGGATATACAACAGTGTACTGGGGCTTTGGGGAGAAAAAAAAAAAGAGGAAGATTGGCAATAGATAATAACTCAGGGCAAATCTTCCTCACCAAAAAACATACTTAAAAAAAAAAAGAGTTGTGACATTGTGCCTGGAGCCCTGCCCTTCTGCAACCCAAACTTCCAACCCCAACTATGGCAACCCCAGCCAAGGCTACACTCTGCATGGGAAGAACAAAGTGTCATCTATGAAAATGGACTGGGATATTTCAGAAAATAAATCATTTCTAAAATGTCAAGAGGGCTGCTGGTGTTCATTCCTATTATTTAATGCTACAAAAATGATTTTTCTTTTTAAATTGAGAAATCCTTTGTCTGTGACAGCCAGCTCCAAAAAAAGCCTTTAAATGCCTACTGCCTTAATACTTGAGGGAGAGATTACAAGTCATTTTCACCCATTTGAATGTTTAAGAGACTCTAAATTCTCAGCTTTTAAGTAGTTCTTATTTTAAACTTTAGAAGAGAACTCTGCAGAAGCAAAACTTCCCTTTCAAAGTCTTTTTTTTTTTTTAATGCAAACACAAATACACTCTCACTCCCTGCTTCCAATGCTAAATCATCTACAATTTGGGAGTTTGTTGCTCATGAAATTCTAGCGATAAGCACATCATAAACATTCCTATAGCAACAGAATGCTTTTGAAGCGATGTCTGTGATGTTACAAAGATTGTATATCATTATCTCTGAATGCTGGCGAAGAGAAGGTTATGGGGATAACTATTTATGTACAAATAAGTCAATATAGTAACTGGCAACCTAACAGCAGACCTTACAGAGCAGCTAAACCACGGCCTGGGGTGGGAGGCAGGAATGTACTTCCCTCAGTTTCCATGAATAAATGTGCCATCCTCACTCTCAACATGGGAAACTAACTCTCCAGGCTCCCCACAGCAGCACGAGTCCTTGGGACTAGCGGTCTCCTGGGCAAGCGTTAAGCTGAGACAACCACGTACTCAACTTTGATCACCTACTACACGTCAGGTGCTGGGCTAGATTCTAGGGTTCTCCAGATGAGGTCTTCTTCAAAGAGGCCCAAGAGAGATAAACAGGTCATTACCATTCTCCTTCCCTGCTAAGAAGAGTATATTGGCTGGAGTTAATGGAAAGGAAGGAAAATGAAGTGAACTAGCTCAATCCATCTGTCCAACCACCTATCTGTCCATCCAACATTGACTGAGTGCCTATAGTATGGACCAGGCAAGTGCAAGGCACCGGGCACACAACAGTTGAGACCAGTGTGGTCCCTGACTTCACGGAGCTTACAGTCCAGCAGGGAAACCAACAATAACAAATCAGAAACAACCATAATAGTGACATGCTCTAAAGAAGTTACCACTACTGCCCCAACGGCATGCGACAGGGGGTGGATACAGCATAGCAAAGGGTCAGCGGTGCTTTCCTAAGGAATTAGTCTTTCACCCGAGCGCTAAGGATAAATTAGTGAAGCAAAATACGGAAGGAAGGAAAGGATAGAAAGATAAGGTGTTTCCGGCACAATGAATAGTCTGTGCAGAGGTCCTGTGACGAGGAGCACGGCACGTTCTCGCTATGAAAAGAGGCTCTTAAAGAGGATCAAGTCAGTCCACGACCCCACACCATGCTTCAATCACTGTGGTATTCAGGGCAAGCATGACGGATGTGCGGGTTTTTCAAAAAGTGCCCAAAAAGTTACTTAGGGCAAGCCAGGAAAATAAGGTGCATATCTGCTCAATTCTCCCTCAACCTAAGCTGGCACGAGGCATCTGAAATAGGGGGCCCCTCGCCCTCCCCTCCCATTTTATCACAAGTTTGGGGACTCATCTCTTTTCTTTTCAACAGTGGGAACTTGGCTAAATCCTATTTGGCCAGTGGTAAAAATTAATTGGTCAACGCTGACACAAGACTTTCAGTGAGTGTGGGTTTGGGGATGCGGACAAGCATTCTATTACTAAAATTATTGCTGGAGACGCCTCATGCCGGATGTAACTTTATGGAATGTCATACAATTTCAGGCACAGAACTTTGGGGCCAAGCAGACCAGGGCTCAAATCCAGCCCCGCCCCTCCCTGGCCATTTGGCCTTGTTCTTCTGTAAAACAGGGTTAGCGGTGCCTCCTGGCAGGGATCTCAGTCCTACACGGAGCACATTTCCTGGCTCCTACCAGGCCCTGGATAAGTGGCAGCATTGCTATCACCACACATCAGTGAGGTGGGGACAGCCACACCCCATGAAGCGATGTCCCAGCCAGTACTGGGGGCTCAGGGCATCTCTGCAAGGGTGCAGGGGTCAGCCATCAGTGACCAGGGGTCCTGATGACTCAGCATTTCTTGGTGTGTGTGTCCTCAAGGGTCCCCAGCCACTGTGCTGAGAGTTCCCAGCTGAAGTCCCACTCGGCAGCAGGGCGGACCCTCCCTGGCTCACACCTCCTCAGGCCCAGGGTCAGCCTCCCCAAGGAATCCAGATGCCATCCCGGTACTCATGGACAGCTGCACCAGGGGCTCTGGCCCTGCAGACAGCAGACTGGGGACCCAGTTCTAGCTCCACCACTTATGACTGGGGTTCCTTTAAACAAGCAGACGAGCTGCAGACGAGAGAGGAGCTGGAGCAGCGAGCACATCCTGAGGCCTAGGACAGGCCAGGCACGGTGCTGGGCCTTTCTGGACAATTTTACAAATGAGCAAACTGAGACCTGCCGACTTGGCCAAGACCACAAAACTGAGCGCTAGAGCCGGAACGTGAAGCCCGGAAGCCCTTCCTCTTTACTCCATCCCCACACCACCTTACGGCGATGGAAATCTTACTCGTCTCTTTCCCACGTGACCACGAGGACACAGCCTTGGAAGGCTGGGTGACGTTCCAAGGACCCACGGCCAGCAAGCCACCAGGCAAGGCCAGAATCTTCCCACTGCCCCACACTGCTGCCTGGGTCTCGGTTTCCCTTCTGCGCACTGGTGGTGACAAATGCCGCCTTATATACCACACACTGGTTAGAGTAACGGGGGATGAAGATATGAGAGTCCTGGGGAAGGAAAAAATTAATATACAGAAACAAACACTTTAAATGGGTATTGAAAGGCTCAAACCAAAGAGGAAGGGTTCTTCTCAGTCATAAGGCAGTTGAAATGAAAAGAACAGCTCATATGCCACCCAGAGTGGGGGAGAGTTCAGCCAGGGGAGGGGAAGGGACACAGGACATAAACTACGGAGCTTCTGAAAGGGGAAGCAGGACCAAACGGAGCATGAAGAATTCCCTCCATGCCACCCACAATAAATGAGAAATTGGCACAGATTTTAAGAAGAAGGAAAAGGAGGAGGAGGAAGAATTAAATCTGTAGACTTATCTCAGAACATTTAAGAAACAGTGCGGAGAGTAATCAATGCACTGAGAGAGCTCAGACTCCAGTCACTCGGGGACCAGCCACTCTGCCAAGCGAGTTCTCCTACGTAGAGATGAGGCTGCCATGGAAGAAGATCTAATTTTCAAGGGAGACACGTCCCCCAACAGCTAGGGGAGTTTTGGAAGCTTCTTAGATGTGGGGAAGACTTCCACTCCTTCTCAAAAAGTCTCTCCTCTTCTTCTGGTGGCTCATTCCCACCCCCGCAGAGGCTGAGAAAAGAATAATTTTCACACACTGGAGGAGGAGGTTCCTGCCCAGACCACTCCAAGTTATAGGTGGAGCACTTAATCAGGTCTTCATGCACCTGATTATTCCAGAACACAGAAGCTGGGCCATCCACATGAATATCAGAGCAGCTCAAACATTGAGAGCATATCAGATGGACACACTGTGGGCTGACAATGGATGGCAGGCCACCATCCACTCTCCAGCCTCCTCAGGCCTCCCACTCCCTTGCTCCCAGCTCCAGCCAGCTTGTCTTTCAGGTCTTCACACACTCCAAGGTCTTTCCTATCCCAGGGCCTTTGCA